ATGCACGCAGTGCGACAAACTAGCAGTGCCTGTTAATATTAACAAAGCTGTCTAATGCATGCAGTGTGATAGTGGCTGTTGTCTATAATGCATGTCATGCGACAAACTTAGCAGTGGCTGTGCATATCAACAAAGCTGCTATGATGCATTCATGCAATACAATGCAATGCAAAAAAGTAGCATCAAGCATGTAACGGGACAAAACTAGAAGCCTGTTACTATTAACAAAGCTGTCTATATTGAAAGCATGAAACGCAACAAAACTAGCAATGTCTGTTTAAATCAATAAAACGGTTTATGACTACATTGTAAAAAATGACCGTGAATTTAAGGGCAAAAGACTGTAAAAATGATACAGTAAAAAGCTGTTTAACGGTTAGCGGTAAGTTACAATTACATGTAATTTTACGGTAGTATACAGTTTTTGGAAGTGAAAAAGAATGTATAATTTACACTGAATAACCCAGAATTCCCTGTGTTACACTTCAAATTTGATGTTCTTATCAGTTTTGTACATAGGGGTTGTGTTACATCTAATGTTGTTCAATTAATGTTTATTGCATTATTTCAGTTTCATATGTGTTACCATGATGGTGTTTAGTGTTTGTGTGAATGACACCGTGCACCTTCTATGTATGTTAATATTTAAAAGCTGCTTGTGATGGGCTTTGGTTCATCATGTGACTTTCTCGTCACCACCTGCTTTTGGTGGTTATCAGTGTATTACAAAGGTACAAAACAGATTTAGTTCAGTAGGTTGGTGTATTAACATTATATCAGTTAATGAAATTACGGTATTTAAATGTAAATTTAAGTTAAATCGTAAAACCTAAAATGTTGTTACCGTATTTTTTACAGTAAAATTCTGGCAACCACAGCTGCCGGTTTTTTAGCATAAATTTTACAGATTTTTTTTTTTACACTGCATGCATGCAAACCCAGCAGCACCTTTTATAATTAACTGAGCTATCTATGCTGCATGCAATGCAGCTAAACTAGCAGCTCCTGTTCAAATTAAAGATGTCAAACCTGCAAGCAAAGCATGCAATGCAATAAAAACTAGAAGCTACCATTATAACAAAGAAATACTGTCTACACTCTAAGTGCCATGTGCTGTGCAATAAAATCTAGAAGCTGCCTACAAAGAACGCATGCAAAGTGGACAGGTTTGTTAATTGCAACATTCTAATTTTGTTGTACTGCACGATTGAAGTGCAGACATGTTTTTTTTTTTTTTTAAATGAGAAAAGGTGTGAAAGACAGCAGATTGCTGCAACAATTTTTGCATGCTTCATGTTAACTTTCCACTAACAAAAGCCATTTAACATTGATCGTATTGCAATCGTATATATGATGTGCAAACCATACATGAGAATGTGAAAAATTGCATTTATACAAACAGATTCGTTTAAGTAAATCTCAGTTTCTTAACAAGCCCATGACAAGCAATGAGCAATGGGACATCCTGTTTCTTAGTTGCTTATTTTGTGGGGACATGCTGGGTAGGCCTGCCCATCCTTAATCTCATTGGTCTAAATTACTGTTCCACACAGCTTTATATTTAGCATACACAAGTCTTGACTGACCGTGATTATGTCACATTGTATAGCATATATGCTGTTAGAATGGACAGACAAATTATGCAGATAATTATCGAGTTGTTTCTGGTGGTAAGGACATTGCATCTACCACCTCAACAGTCTTGTGCCACACATTTGGATCAACGTGTGGCTCGACAGCGCAGTCCGTTCACGTAGCTTTATTTTGCAGCTGTAAATTTCCAGAGCAGTCATCTTAATCTTGTTCTCTCTCTGCATAGACGAAGAGACTTTATCAGCCTGTGTGATCACTGGTAATTTCAGTGTACAGATGCAATCGCGCTCTCTCTACCTCCCATTACCTTCTTCCCTCAGGACTGAACGACAATACGCTCCCACACAATAGACAAACAAGAGCCTGTTGACTGGGAGAAAACCCACCACTGCAGCAACAACATCAACTCTGTCGAATCTGCGTTCATGTAACGAAACTGAAATTGACAGATTATGACAAAATTATTTTAATCACTGATCCAAAAAAACACATTTTCATTGTTGTGCATTTGATCTCAGTGTCTATCAATGTTTAATTGTTTGTACTTTACATAATTGACACCGGCTCAAATTTTGTGGCTTGTTAGGGAGAAGTGCGCTATTACTTTTCTTACATATTTCCTCGGAGCCATCTAGGAACAAGAACATCATACAATCTTACGAGCTGAGGTCTTTTGGCTTGGGTCAGTAAGCAACCACTCAGAACTCCCTAGCAACCCTGCAAACCACTCCAGCAGGCTGGTGAGTTTTAAATAGGATAGCACCACTCACTTTTACTTCAAAAACCAATAGAATTTATTTGTCTACACTGTTTACTTAAACAAACAGTATGAATTTTAGGCAAATAATAATAATACTATTCAAAACTTAATGTTAAATTAAAATCTTCATTTACAGAGTATTATAAATTCCAAGAGAAATGGAGAAAATCAAAAAACAAAAATGTGGTCACATAGCGCCAACCTGTGGCTAAAAATGCTACTGCAGAAGGGAATCATACTAGACTAGGAAAAAGTTTTAAATATCAAAAAAGTTTATATTTAATATCCTGGTTCCCTTAAAAACCTATTTTGTTCATTTAAATTAAGCTTAATGTAAAATAAAACAAAAACCATATGTATTAGATGAAACACTTAAATTTTGAGTTGAAGCACTAAAGTTACTAATACTAGAAATGAAATAAAAATAAAGCTAAATAGAAATATACAAAATATATAAATGATAAAATAATATACATTTATATATAATTACAAATAATTCATATAAAAATGACTCACGAAAAACTTAAACTAAAAAGAAAACTGAACATATAAAAGCTAATTCAAAATATAAATAATATAATTAATAATAAAATAACACTGGTTGATATGGATTTGCTATAGGGTGTTCTGGCACAAATAATGCAACATGTCAACATTTAATCCTTATTATAAGGGGTTTGTTCAAATCACTGACCTATACCATGAGCAGCAGTAAAAATGAGTTTCCTTAAGCAAGTAGCACTAAAAATACAAACCCCACAAAAATCCATTCATGTTCGTAACACTCAAACACACAGTGGGGCTCCATAACCTTTGTGGTTTGGAGAGAAATACATACAGTATAACAGAAGAATGTACTGTATGTTTAAACTTTTGTCTGTTTTGCCTATAAGAGCACATGTAGATTTGTGGCATGAGTGTGTGGAAGTGTGTTCGGGTGTAATACGGCCTCCAACTGATCTATAAGGAAGAAACAGGAGACAGGAAAAAAGGAACAAATGGAAATGGAGGAGAGGGAGAAAAAAAGACCCTGAGTCTTTCTTCTGGCAGAGGGGCATCCAGCTGAGCGCTGGCTCCAAGCCCAGTTAGACCCCCTGCCCTGGCTGGACTCTCTCACACACACACACACACTCACCTGGGATGTCTGCCATCCGGGCCGGACCTCCGCCAGCTTCTCACACACACATGGCTGGGAGCCTACAGCCCGCCGACTTCCTGTTTCACACACACCGACACCCACAAACACACCTCACAGCCAGAGAGCTTCCTGTCCGACCCGAAACAACCCTGATCATGTCCGCCCCTCCACCACCCACTGGCACTGCCTCCGCTGTGTGTGATGAGAAGGCGAATGTGTGTTTGTGTGTGGGAGATATGAGCCGGATGGGGTGAGAGTGAAGGACTGCAGCACTGAGGGATCATGGGATACGTAGGTTCCTGTGTGCACCACTGTACGGGACAGAACTCAATATGGGCACACAGCAATGCATTTTGGCAAGATGGGCATGAGTACTTGAGTTTGCACTCTGCGGCAAGACAGTATATACTGCATGAAATTAGAAATGTGCAAAATGGTACAGATTTTGATATATCATTATTAGTGGTAAACATTAATTTGTTATTAGTGATGTAGCACCAAGCAGTGTTCTGCTGTTCAGCTCATCCACTTCAATGTATAGT